ACTAAAAATAGTTTTATCCATAAAAACTAGACTTGCAATTGGATAAAGTTTTAGAATATTTAAATGAGAGTGTCATGAGATTAAACTTAATCTTTTCCTTTACCTGTACAACTCAAAACAAAACTGAAAGTTCAATCAAAGACCCAGAATTGAAAAAGATCGTTCAACATTTCGCGTAAATTTATTAACTCCGAAAGTGTCTTGTTTTCGAAAACAATTTCAATTTGGTTCATTATTGCTTTCTTGGATTTTGCCTTTTTTGGTTGTCAAAAAGCAAATTGTCCTTTTCACATTCAAAAATGAAAGCTAACACTTTTTCGCGAATTATTTCAATTGTAAAGGTCATAAAGCTAACATTTCTACTGGCACAACTATTTTAGCAAGTTTGAGTACCACTAACAATATGAAGATCAACACAACTAATCCTCACCACATCATTAACACCACTTGTTTCATGTGCAACATATCGAACACCGGTATTCCGAACATTTCTCAACCACTTCATCAGAATGAAACAAGCAGTCCAAAGCTTATCAATACAACGAGTATTGCCCACTTCAACAATAGTATGCCAATTCAAATATGGAAAACGAATTCAACAATGCCAGCAGCAAATTCAGATTACGAATACGTTTCTGCTAACATTCAGCCATGTCTTATGTCGAATCAAGTAGCCGGTGTTTATTTTAATGATATAATTCTTGCCTATCAATGGAATCAAATGCCTAATCATGACGATATGACGATATTTTTATCGATGATTTTGGTGAGTTTCGACAAAAAAGATAATTACCAATGTTCAGTCCGGGATTTTTGGTCTTTCCCTCAATATTTTCTGCATAAGAATGATTTGGAAGAATTACAATTTGTCGAAAGGTGTCCGATTATATCTATGGGTTGACTGCTTTTGCAGGCTTAACGAGTCTTGGACCTACTTTTACAAGGCCTATTGTGTGCTTAAGTAGGTTCCAATATGGTTCAATTTGATGCAACACCAAATTTTCCCTAGCTGGCAATGTTTGAGTCGTGACGGTTTTCTAATCTCTGGCCTCACGATTAACATGTTTGTGAATGCGCTGAATTTGGGAATGAATTATTCAATGCAAACGCTTGGAAGTGGGCTGTCGCTGAACAGAGTGTCTGCCGTGTTCTTTGATGGACTCTACTATCGAAAAGTAGAAAAGTATACACTTCCACAAATTGTCTTTCTCTTCACAATACCAATTGTTATTTATTGCTATGAAGTCAAAAATGGTAAGTGGCTAAGAATCACGGTGTTCTAAGAGTTATTTGTAGCTTTTCGGGTCAGGCTAAGTCAGACAAGGCCAGGACAAGGCTAGACAAGGCCAGGCCAGTTCAGAAGCCAGGCCTAGATCTGGCTTCTTCTCCTGTCCTGCCTGACCTGGCTTGGCCTACAGACCCTGGCTCCGGCTGGAACATCCCTGTTAACAAACAAAATCTCTCCTAGAAGAGCTAGTGAATTCTAGTTTTCATTGATTTCTCTAGATAACAACTTATTTTAGTAGCTAGTACTCTTGATGCCTATCTCTGTTATGGTGGATGGTATTTTGTCCCCACGTATCTGCAGATATTCTTGGCTCATGGAAGAGATTCAGTAGCTCTCTTTTTGATCAATCATTTGGACCAAATCATGTACACACTTTTGGGAATCACAATTGCAATTGACTTGCTGACTCTACGAAAAGTCTGGAAAATTGTGAGTTTTGTGAATCAGTACAGAATCACAATTTTAGTCCCGCGGTTCGGAGTCTGGTTTCAAAAGTCGATCTGATCTACGATTGATGATTATGGTGGGTTTGATTGGTAAGGCAATGAGAGCTAAAGATAACCCAGACTAATCAATTTCAATGTCATACTTGGCAAAGATTGACTTCATCATAATATTACCAGGTTGTGATCACTCACTCGATTACAATCTGTTTCCTCGTTGGCAACTTGTTAATGAATCGAGTCTTGCAACTGGCAATATTGCCTGGAAAAGATTTCTTGTCATTAGAAGTTTATCCTTTTGTGCTACACTGCATATTGAGGTATTTCTATCCTAAGAAATCAGCAAGAAATTCGTGTTTAGTTGTGTCGTTATTGTATTCAACAAACAATGGAAACAAAAGCGAAAATCTATTACTGTGAACGTTGGTTGAACACGTGCTTATCTAAAACAATCGTTTGAGCAATTCGTCATATTCGCAAATAAATTCTAAACACATCAAAAGCTCTATAAAAAGCCAGCGACAATAATATTCTAGCCTTTTCTCTGTTTCCGTTGGAAGAAACTTTTTGATTTTCCAGTTAATCAACAAAACTTTTGAAAAGCATTTTATAGTTCAATTCTTACAATTAGATTCCTAAATGCGGTACTCAAAAGGGGACTTGTGTCCGCAATTTGAATGACCCAAACAAGTGGGACTGTACTACGGTTGGTTGTCTAAAAGATAAAATAGAGTTTTTAAAAATTAACTAAAAGACACTTTAACAATCAGATTCATTGCGAGAAATCAAACTATGGCAAATGCAATTTCTATGAAGATTGCCAAATGGGAAGCGATGGGAATTATGTTTGTGTGAACACTGGCCGCTAAGCCTTTCCTGTATTTGACAATAAATCAATAGATGGAAATTTTTATGCACACCACGATGTAGGGTTCATAGTTGCAAGACTCGATTCATTAATTTCCGGCAAGAAGATACCGGATAGCTCAGTGGTTAGAGCATCTACCCAGAAAAATCTTTCTTTGCCATTCCTTACTATGAAATCAAAGCTTCTGTGTGATACTGTGTGATTACATTCGAGCTTCACGAGATGCCAGTTGACTCGAGCGTTGTAGTCCCATCAGCGGTCGTTCTAATCAACTTTTATCGTCTCAGTCACAGCTACACTTAGTTGATTTTTTGCCAAGTTCCTTTTTGGTGCATTATTTTGCACATTAAGCTTTGCCTTTCAAGATTCCGATATTACCGTGCCCAAATTGCTTAGACAATTTTTGGAATGAATCTGGTTGTGAATATTGAGTTTGACGCACGAGTTTGTATTTTTTGAACTATCTAATAATTAAAAACGAACTGCACAACACTAAAATAACTTTTGAAATTTGAAAATTTCAAGTCCTTGATTTGCTTGTCAATAAAATCACTTTATCAAAGCTGATGAAGAAGAAGAAGAAGAAAAGAATAATGTATTGATGCTACATGATTTTTTCATGTGTACTAGGAAAAAAATCTTTCTCTTCCCTAGATCGGGCAACAATTTTGCGATTCTCCCAAAAGCCATCGATCGCCATTTTCATTTCTGCCAAATAAGTCCGTTTGTGATCTTGCTTCCAACCCCAATCAGATGCTGAAACTAACTCTATTAGTTCTTACAAATAAAAATGAATTAACGATTTCAAGAAAGGGTAATTATCTGTTTACCTGTCTCTGAACTTCGTAAAAACTTTGCCATAATGTGTAAAATAACTCCAAGTTCGAAAAGACTAATGTAAGTAAAACCGACGTATGTCCATAAGTAATAACCATCTTCTGGCGGAAACCAAAAAGTTTTATCCAGAAAAGAGAACTTATCATTGATATCTAATCCAATGACAATTCCATCTTTCAACGATCGATTACTGTCAGCATCATCATCTCGTTTAAGTAGACGCAACGTTTCAACTGATTTTGCTTTTTCTTTCAAGCAAATAAAGTAAAAACCAAATGATGGATCGAGCTTTTTCTCAATTTCGGATAAAAGTTTCTCCACTAAATATAAATGAACACTATGACAAAGAATGAGATTCTCCCAATCATAAATCAATCGAAAAGCTCTTTCGAAAAGAAAGTGTGTTTCAAGAAATTCTCGATGATTCAATTTACTGCACTCTGAATATGTGATTTGCTCTTCTTCATTAAGAAAACTCTTCAAGAAATTTTTAGTGGGACAAACTGGAGAACAATTGCATGTCGAGAAAATTATATCCTTTGGTATTGAATCAAAAAAATAGATCGTTTTGGGAAATCGGCAATCTGTTTTCTCATTGGTGATTAGTTCTTTAAAGCCTTGACTGCCTTTCGGGAGATCCTTTAACTCCTTTTTAAGAGCTCGAGAAATGCTTCCAATCATCGGACTCTTGAACAAAACATTGCAAAATTCTTTCAAAGGATCTGCCTTGATTTTCTTCTTATCCTTTTTTGTGTTTGAATGTCTTATGACCATATCCTTTTTCTCGTTGAGAATTCTTCGGATCATTTCGAGATCAAAAATTGCATAAACATTCTCCGAATTCCGATCCCTCACCGAACCAACGAATCGTCGCTCTTCAGATCGCATTTCCCCGAGATCTTTTCTTACGATAAAATTGAATCCCCTGCACCATTCATATTTTGAGTCATTCAAATAAAATAACATAAATTTTGGTCTTCTCGAGAAAATGTGTTCCATTTCTTCAATATTGTGGATTGAGAGATCTAAAAGATCTAATAATTCGATCGATGTGATTGCACTTGTCTCACAAATATGCAAAGTGTGAATGCTAAACTTGAGGCAAAAATATTGTAGAGTGAAATCAAAAGCAAGGAGTGAAGCAAATTGTCTCAGCCAAGTGAGTAATTGATCAGATAGATCTTCTCGTTTTTCATAGTTAAAGGGATCACCGTCAATGCTGCTACCATTATACCAATCTCTTTTGAGTATCTTTTAAATATTGCCAGCATTTCTTTTATAAGCTCTCGTTCATTTAATGGGATTGTTTCCAAAATCTCTTTACTTAACTTTCCTCTGAACTCATTCACACTACAGTCCTCCGTTGAGCGAGCTTCAAATCTAGTCCTCCAATTGGCTCCAATTGTTTGAGGCTCCAATTGTTGAAACGAAAAGTTCCGGAATTCAGTGCTCTTCTTGATTTTTGATAGTATTTCAAATTGAAAGAATAAATAGTCTGGATCATCATTGAAAGGGATCGCTGGATTCTTGCTGAACGACTCTAGATCAACCGATCCTTTGCTTATAGAACCGTCCAACACTAAATCTGGAGGTAGAATTGATGATTCTTCTTCTTTTCTGGCTAGCTTTAATCCTTCTGGTTTTCTCAACCAAATTTGGTTTCTCCGAATTTCTGGAGGCACCAAATACTCACAATGAGCAAAGATCTAAAAGCTGGTTCTGAGTTGAAGCTAAGGTTGGCAAAAAAAGCAAAAGAATCCTTTTATTAGGTTGTAAACTAAGTCTTGACCCTTTCTTAAATTGCTAATATCTCAGCGTAGAATCAGTATATTTGAATCAAATTTTAAACGAATTATTCTCAAAAACCTAAAAGCTTAAAATTATAATGTTATTCGGCGATAGCAAAAAGACTGCACCAGGGCAATTTTTTACCTCCTGTTTTTTTATTTTTTTACCTAAATTCAAAAATACGAGCACATGAGGAAACGATACAAATTTTGTTCTACTACATTTAAAACTAAAATAATGTAGAGACTTTCTGAAAAGGTTTCAAAACTCTTAGCAAAGTTTACTCTATTTTTCAAGAGGGCTAAGCTTTATTTAGCTATCCCGTGAAATCGCTGAAAATTTGATATTGCTATTTAACCTAAACTACTACGTTATTCTGCCTAAGTTTTTACTAAATGAATTATACAACAGTTCTGGAAACATTCATTTATAAAATTGACCTGAATTTCTACTTAAATATTTTTGAGTTAACCTATTGGGTGGGTGAATTGAAAACTGCGGGACTTTGAACTAAAATTTATTCAACATAAAACCATAAATTTATTCCAAAAAATTTTCATTATTATTGACGACTTCTGCCCATTTTACGGGCAATTTGCGGATTCCTCTTTCGTAGTAGGATTTTGGTTTGTGTGTGAGACAAGTGTGAGACTCAAAAATGGAGGACTGGAGATGTCCCAGTTTGAGCATTTGAGCACTTTCTTGAAAAGAAACCCATTTTGGTGTCAATGGAAAAGTTGTAGAGAATCAAAAATTAGGCTTATAGCTAAATTTCCAAAAAGATACACTTAGTAGTTTCGCTTAAAATGCAAGTTTTGTGAAAATTCGTAAATTTGGCATTTCTTGGAAAGCAGTTTTTGAATCGTTCTGAAAATTTGGATATAAGCTTAATTTTTGATTATCTACAACTTTTCCATTGACCCCAAAATGGGTTTCTTTTGAAGAAAGTGCTCAAACTGTGACATATGACAATAGCCGGCCGTTTTCAATTCACCAACCCAATATTTTGTGGGAAAAAAGGACAAAAAGGGGTAGTAGCATCTTATTTTTTGTTATAACTTGGTCGCTAATCGCCGAATAACTTCATTATTTTGCCACTAAGCTTTGGAGCTTTTGAGAATAATCCATTTAAAATTTCATTCAAATATACTGATTCTACGCCGAGATATTAGCAATTTAAGAAAGCCTTAGTTTACAACCTAATACCAACTTTTTCCAAATAAGCTATTTTCTCAAGAGCTTGTACAGCAGTTGCTCGTTTTTCAACGTCGATTTTGGAGCAAGAACACCTGAATAATTTCTTTGCTTTTCTCTCTTTTCACAAACCAAATGATCAAGTTCTGAAGTTTTTCGACTTTCAAGCAATCTGATGGAGAAAAACAAATCGTTTTCACTTCTGTTGAGAAATGTCTAAATCGTGAAATTCGACGCTTTTCTCTTTCAAAATGACTTTCTTTCGATAACTTCCCAGAGAACCAAACCAGCGCCGTAGACGTCACTTTTGTAGAAATTCTGAGAACAAATAAAACGAATTAGTTATCAATTTACCTCATCACTCAATACGATTCGCTTTTTAATCTCGGGCATCATGTAAAATTCTGTTCCCACATAGGTATGAATTGTTGCTTTAGCTGATTGAATCATTTTAATCACTCCAAAGTCACCAATTTTCAGTATAAAGTCTTTTGTGACAAAGATACTAAACAAATGAATTACTAAGCTTTTAAATCAACTTACTTATCAGCTTTAATATCTCGATGAGTGATCTTTTTTGACTTGAGATAAACCAAAGCTTTGAAAATATCTCGACCCCATGCAATAATTGTAGCGATAGAATAGTTGATTTGCACGTTTGTGATTACTAAAAAATAGAATTTAGAAATATCAGTTCACAATGATGCAAAGAATAGTTTAACAAAATATTTTGCAGTCGTAGATTGCTTTAAAAATCAGCACCTACCATGCTTCAACGCCCCTTTCTCACAATATTCCATAAATATCAGATTCCCATTCTTTTTCCATTCAAAATCAATCGGTTGGTCTAGGTACTTTACAATATTTTCATGCATTAAGTCCTTTAGTATTTTGAGCTCTTGTTGTTGATCGAAAGAGTTTGGGCAATGATCGTTTTCTTTCATCACCATCGGTCTGAAATGATAAAAAAACAGAGCAAGTTTCGCTTTATAGCTGATTCAAAACATACGGATTATATTGTTTCAATAGAAATACACTTCCAAAGCCTCCAGAACCAATGAGCTCGATTGATGGATGGTCTTTCATAGCTCACAAGGGAAAGTCAACTAAATGTGCTGGCCAAATGACATGAGCCATAGATCATTGGACGCAGAATTTCACTCTGATCATAAGGCTGCTTTTCTTTTTTGCTACGGAGCACTCTGTCAAAAGTTTTACGCGTTTAAAATTTTGTAAGGGGTTAAAAAAATCAAACCACGACATTACAACCCTGTCTGCTACGAACTTGGCAGTTGTAGCGGTGGTCGAGTGATAGTGAGTTAGGACGCAGGGAGAGTGCTATGGCTCGAGTCTTTTAATTTCTAGCTGGTTATCTTTTTTTAGGTTTAAATGCCTTGAGATGTCTCCGTTTTAGAGAACTTTTGTTTAGCTTTTTACAAAAATATTTTTCTTTAACAAAAAACAACATAAAAGAACGTAGAACAACCAAAAAAACCTACAAAAGAGACAGTCAGCTACCGGACACGAACCAGAGCGCTCTCCCTGCGTCCTAACTCACTATCACTCGGCCACCGCTGCAACCGCCAAGTTTGTAGCAGACAGGGTTGTAATGTCGTGGTTTGATTTTTTTAACCCCTTACAAAATTTTAAACGCGTAAAACTTTTGACAGAGTGCTCCCTAGCAAAAAAGAAAAGCAGCATTATGATCAGCGTGAAATTCTGCGTCCAATGGTCTATGTCATTTGGTGTATGCTCATGTCATTTGGTCAGCACATTTATTAGGTTGATGCATAAGTCTTTTCGTTTTTTTCGTACTTCTGTTAAAAAGTAACAAATTCACCAATTAATCTATAGTTTGCTCTATAAAAAAAGTGTTTTTTTGTTCAATTTGCATCTTTTTAAATCAATTTCGGTTCACTTTCAAGCAAATTCGAGAGTCAAAAACGCCTTTTTCGTAAAAATCTATAAAAAACTCTACGGAAAAATTGGCTGAATGAATTTCTCCGAAATTTTGGCGAAATATCAAACTTTTTTTCTCTATCTTTTATCTATTGACACGAAGATAGGTTTTCTTTAGCTAAGGTGTCTAAACCGCATCATCGAGTTAGCCCTTTTTGACTACCCGACTTCATACTCTCAAGAAAATCCAGGCATAAAATATTTTTAAACCCGTTTTAATGTTATTTTGCAGAAAAATAATTGGTTTTTCTAATGAAATCAACCGTAGTTTAATTGGTGCATTTGTTGGCTTGAAACGGCAGACGAAAAGGAACAAAAAGACTTATGCATCAACCTAATAGTTGACTTTCAGTAATTAACGGTGTTAAATTTAAAATTTGAAATTTGAAGAACAAAAGATTTCGCAACAGAACAGTAAAATAGCAAGATCAATACGCCTTTTTGAGTTTTTTTTGACACCTATTTGGTTAAACACTGATAAGCCGTTGACTTTCTTCTTTTTCCCGAACACAGCTGAGTGAGTGAGCAAATGGATTTGAAAATTTTTATATCTTGAGCTATAAATGAGTTTTCCAAAACATGAAATCTTCTTTGTAAAGTTTTCTCAAAATTGCGATAGTTTTTGGGTTCTTTGCAACAGCTTCGGTAAAAACAAAGCGATCAGAGTCATTCGAAGCATGATAAGTTGAAGAGTGATGGAGATGTTGAAGAGCCTGGAAAAATATTCACAAATTGATCAAAAAATGAATATTTTAGACATTTCAAATGGTTTTAAATCGACAAGTGCATTCGAACTTTTTGGGCGAGGTCCCTCGGAATCTTGGCCTTTTCAAAAACATTCAACAATTCTTCCTCCATTTGCGTCCGATTTTGAGAATAGTGAACGAATAAGAGGCTTTTATCTGAGGTTAAATGACAAAATCTAAAATTTTAATAATATAACTCTTTTTGGGTGTTACCTTGTCTGTGGCAAACCATGATTGATCAATGTTGGACTCCACGACAAGGGATCACTATGGTTTGTGATTAGGAAATCAATCCACACAGCAAATTGGTGAATGTTCCGTTGCTCACATTGATCTAGCTTTCTGAAACTAGTTCTTTAAACTAATTTTAATAAAAAAATATCTGTTTTTTTGTATTTCTTAGATAATTTTTTAGTATCTCTTCAAAAAACTCACTTACAAAAGTGGCCATAAAACGAGACAAAGCGTTCAATCGGTTCTCGAATGATCGCAAATTTTATTGGTGGATTTGGTTTCTCCCATTTTACAACTGTTATGTTTAAGTAATTTCCATTAAGTTTACAGTCACTAAAATCATTATAAAACACTTTTCTACAAAATCTTCCCGAAGAAAACTAACTTGAGAAACCAAACTTTCTGCGAGAATCCCCGTTTGTAAGAGATTCCTTTATAATCCTTGATGATATCGCAAAGAATTTGTTGTGTAATCATTGTTCCAGTTTTTGGAATCATACAATAGTCAAGGCCAAATGGATACGATTTATGAAAAAATTAGTTGGAGCTGCTTTTTTTTGAACACTTACTAGTTGATTGTGCACAATTTCATTTGTTGCTGACAATACTAAAATTAACAGTAATTGTGATAGCAAAGCTTTTAAGCATTCACAGCTCGAATTTCAAAAATTCAGTTTGGCCATTTTAAATCAAAGATTTAGGCAAAAAAGCTCACTGGAAATCGTTTCCACCAAAAACAGAGCCAGCAAGCAAATGAACATCCTAAAACTTGTAGCCAAACTTTGAAAAATTCAAAATTAGGAAATTACAATAGAACTTTAAAAATGTCAATAATATAGGTCAAATTCCTTTTGAAATCACAGTTCATGTGAAAAGCAGTTTCTCGAAAGTGGAGCAAATCGTTGAAGCGTAAAATCACAAGGAAGAGAAGGCATCGATTCATATCGTTAATCTTGCACATAAGAGAAAACAAAGAACACTATTAATTATATTAATTATTAAGACTATTAATTAAGTGTGTTTTCCTTGGCATGTGGATCAAATTGAATAAACCAAGTTCCACTTACAGATCATGGCCAACACTTACAGATCATGACCAACAATCTACCATTCACTTTTACTTACGTCATTTATCCTTTCGTATTCCTTGGTTTTCTGAATTCATTAACAAGTATAGCCTATTTTTGTTACTACTTGGGAAACTGGCTGATGTAGTCGGGAAGTCAACCCTATTAAGAATTTGTGAGAGATATTATTGCTTGATCATCTTAAATTACTGTAGCTATATACGAATCAAGAGTTCTTAAAACCTCATTTCAGAATCGTTACAATCTATTTGCTAAGAAAAGATGAGCAAAAAGTCGTTTCTTGAACTAAGAGATGAGAATGGTACCACAATTCGTCTTATTGCAGTAAGATGCTTAAAAATTACAGGATTGCAAGTTGAACGAGGCAAAATTGTTCGTTAAACTGAGCAATGAAGCTATGAAGCTTATGAAGCCAAAAATGTAGCTTGCGTTGATAAACAAAAGAAATAAAAAGTATGCCAACTTCTTGCAAAAAAGGCACGGAAATTTTAGATGCTTACTAACGATTTGCTAATCTAACATTTGTGGTTCATTGATCAATAAACCATTACAAAATTTTCAAACTTTTTACTACGTAAGTTCGCACAATTCTATATTCACCCGGAGACAATCAAAACAGAAAAAAATGCTTCTAATTGTGTGAGTCAAGGGAATGCGGAAATCTAAGAAACGGCAATTCCCTTGAGAAGTTTTCACTATCTATGATTGCACAAATGATTACCAGAATTTCTTTTATAACGTCAACTATTTACCTAATTCACCTAATTCATGTAGTCGCAATCAGAAATCAGAAAGGCTATTTTGTAAGTGTTATTCGAATTTATTTTTGCATAGCTACTTATCGATTTATAGATGGTTTAATTTTTTTTTTTTTTTTTTTTTTTTTTTTTTTTTTTTTTTTTTTTTTTTTTTTTTTTTTTTTTTTTTTTTTTTTTTTTTTTTTTTTTTTTTTTTTTTTTTTTTTTTTTTTTTTTTTTTTTTTTTTTTTTTTTTTTTTTTTTAATTTTTTTTTTTTTTTTTTTTTTTTTTTTTTTTTTTTTTTTTTTATAAAATTTAAACTTACAATATCAATCAATGATAGGCAAACTCTGGCTGTCTTACAAGATAGAAACATTCGTCCAGTGAGGCGAAGCCATTCAGACGCTGACAAACATCCACCAATGGCTATATTCACTTTGAAAAGGAATCCAAACACAGCGCATCAATTCTCAACTCCACAAATGCTCAGGGAAATCCTCATCGTTTTATCGCTATTTTTTATCATCAATGGTAGGTTTTACAGCTTGAGTAACGAATAATTTTTCAAAACTTGAATCTAATTTTCTTTTTCAGGTGCATTGCTTGTAATCTTCTACAAACTTCCAAATATGACCACTGTAAATGCCATTGTTGTCAAAACGGATAGATTTGCTGATCTGCATCATGTCTTCACCTTCACCCAGTTTTTTGTAAGTGTTTGTCAAGCGACTAGTTAGATACTGAAGCATGGTGAGTGATGTTTGAATGATGATGTTTGAAAGAGGAAGCCGACCATGCCAGTATTCGCTCCACAAGTAGTGGCATGTCCCTTTTCTTTTGGCTTGGATTGTTTCCGACATTTTGTATGGGTTTTGGCGTTGTTTCCTCCAATTTCTTCCGACTTTTCATAGCCATCGCCACACAGTCATTCGTTCACAGTAATGTCTAGCCAATTTGCGGGTTGATCCATCGAGATTTAGCAGGAGAATCGATGTCTCAGAATCAGAATCGATCGATCCACTTTCCAAGGTCCGCCTCCCCTCTTCCGTTTGATCCTCGTGTTGCCCGTCATGAATTTGTGAAACCATCCCAGTACTCGTTCCAACGATGTAGCCATAAAATCAATTGATTTCACGTGCTGCTTTGGCCGCTGAAATCCCTCTTGAAAATCGTTGGAGCAGTTGGACGTGGATTTCTTCTCGAGTTGGATTGATTCGATCGACTGCAACGTTTTTCTCGTGTCGATCCCTAAAAAGTGAATGTTAGTGCAAGAAAGCCAGGCTAACTAGAGTTGATGCTAGGAAGTTCCAAAGTAAATATCATTGAATGAATTGGAGAAAAAGGACTTGTTCTTTTTACTGTTTCAGCAGTTTTCTTAAAACAAAATGTTTAGTGCTCAATCATTTCCGTTTTCGCGAACATTGTGAGTGCTTGGCTTTGTTGGAGATCTCGTCTCCTTTTCAAAGTCGTCTCAATGCTATTAATCGCTGATTCCTTGACTAGAGCGGTTTATTCAGCTCTCCTTGTACTTGCCTTTTACTGTGTATTTCAGTCTTTGTAAGTTGTTTTGAAGAATTCCTCCAAAAACTTTAATTTCAGCATTCCTTCCTTGAGATGTGATGGTCTTGTATATCAAATCTATCAATGGCTTCAAATTTTCTTGAACCCTTTCCTTTACATTTCCAGCATGGTGCAAATAAGCAAGCTGTTCATTTTGTGGTTATAGATAACATTATTTCAGCGTTATCATTGAACCGTTTCCTTGCTCTATCATTTGGTGGAATGTACTATCATCGAATGCGCAGATATCCATGGCTTCAAGTCGCAATTCCTTATGTTCTTGGATTCGTCTCGAAGATGTGGATTGCTGACATTTGTTGGATTTCTATTTTACTTTAAAATAACTATATTTTAGTTAATATTCGTATTACAATTGTTTCAGCGACAATCTCGCTTGATTTTATTCTCATCTACAAGATGATTGTAAGTCGAATTGCCGTGATTTCTTGATTCCAGAAGTTCAATGCCCTGACAATGAGCAATGAATTTAAACTTTTTCAACACTGTTCTACTTGTTCTTTTTTCTTTTTTCATACTAATTACGAAATTTCAGAGATCAAAAAAAACCGTCAATCATGCTAGCGAACGTTTCCTCTTTGCTCAAGTGAGTTTTTTCTAAATTGCAACACAACCTATCTTTCCAGATCGTGGCCAACAATTTACCATTCACTTATTGTTATCTACTTGCTCCATTCCTTTTCATCACAATTATGCCATGGGCTCCGATGGTTTCCGATTTCTTCTATTACTTTGGAAATCTGCTTTTATACTCTGGGAGCCAACTCTATCAGGGGTGAGTCTTGGAATCGTTTGACTTGATGTCTTTCATCCAATCTTTATTAATATAACTAATAACTAGCTTAACTTCTCGTTTGTTTATCATAAAGTACTTTTCAGAATCGTCACCATTTACCTACTGCGCAAAGACGAACGAAAAAACATAATTCGAAACTTCAGCAATCAATCTGGGGGTGCGATTCACTCAATAATGGGCAGAATCTCATCAGCGGTAAGATGAAAAAGAAGAACTTGCTTATATCCTACATGCCTTTACAATTGCCATTCATACCGGTTATTCTTGTGCAAGATTTATGTACTATTCGTGTTTCTAAAAGTGCATCAAACACCAATTTCCCTGAATGAATTGGATTGGTTCAGTGCTTCTTTGAAAAGCAAAAAAATAGGAGTATTAGACACCTTTTCTGTACCCAATTCTCAAAATCACAGTTGGAAACAAGTTTCATGCATCAAAAAGCTGTTTTTTAAGTGTAAGAGATGGAAAATCGTTTCAAAGAACAAAACAAAGAGAACAGCTTAGAAAATAATGACCATACATCTAAAATTGCAAAAAGAAATGTTTTCGTACATCGTGATTAACTTGTTTATTTGGACAGAGAGCGTTTAATTGCCGATCCTTTTTTGTTCGAAACGGTAAGACTCGATGGACGAAGGACTTTTTGAGGTTTGGATTGCAGGTTGAAAAAGATGACGACACATCTAAAGTTGCATTATAGTTGCACCACAAATAAGATCAGAAATATCCGAAAGTATTCAATTACTGTAACTTTTTCTAGAAGACACTCGTTTGTCCTCTGTAATACTGAAGTAAGCCGGATGACCTAGATGGTATTGACTCAAAAATGGTGCTAACGGATCTCAAGATATTGCTCCAAGTTTCCATAAGTTTAAAAAGGTACAGCTCACCCCAGAATGCAATGAACAATGAATGGTGAAACTTTTAGAATCAAATAATAGAAAATCGGGGATTCTGCGGTGAAAACACAGTTTGTAATATAGTTCCCAAGTAGAAAGCAGATTGTGATCAAATGGGTGGTAACAAGCTAAATTTCTTTGTTTCAGAATGATTGTGATTAGTGACCAACCATAATTGATAATCGGACATCAGCCCGTTGCTTTGATTGAGAAGACTTTTTCTGGATCCATTGTTTCTTTAGTAAATTGATATCAACTTACAATTCTCCGAACTTTCCACAAAGTCAGTACATCAAGGATAACCGTTGTGACCAAAATTCCGTACATAATATAATCAAAACGTTTTGTGAGAAAATAAACAGTTTCATTCCACGTAACCATGCAAGTGTTACAGAACTCTAATGGAGTGAAAAACCAACAACCATAGCACCGGAACCCATCCGGATTTACCACTAAAAGATTTATCTAGCACATCTCGTTGATCATTCACTTACGATCTCCAATCTGATAGAGATAAACACCAATCGGTAAAGCCCATAGAATAACGCTGTGTGGGAGAGCAATTCTTTCAACTTGCTTGTAGAAAATTCCATTGAAGAATACGGCGAACAGCCTAAAAAGCTTACTTAAAAATGGTACAAGACTGAACATCTTCAAAACAGTTTGGTTCTATTGGAGATTTGGATTTGCATTTGTTTTAAAAGCAAACGGATCCAGTTCTCGAACTGAGCAGTTGGCCAGCCAGATCTACGCTCATTTTTACGCTTTAGATATTTAGCACCACTTTAAGTAATTACCGATTTAGACAAAGTCCGTGCCCCAACATTTGCATAGAATAAAGCATTCCAAGATGAAAGGAAGTAACAAGTCGATTGATCATTAAACCAGATATGGGAGATCCAATCGGGTTTACACAGGTCCATCTAAAGCTGATTTTTTAACTGAACAGTTTTGGTAGCTTACGTCAACACACAATGTGCTTGATAAATGAATGTAAATGCTTCATTAAGTCGACAATAACAATCAAATAAAAGATAGCATTTGACAGCTTTTGAGAGTCGGGAATTCCGGAAAATCGTTGTTGCACAAAAAATGTTCAAAAGTAAAGCAAGAAGAGCTTCCTGTAAGCTTAAGTTTTTACCAAACTGTAGATTTCAGTAAGAACTGAAGTAAGAATTCACCAGAAACATTGAGGTAGCGACAAAATCCTTCTGTACATCGTTGCTTATTGAAGGAATGGGTAAACCATTCCAATTGTAGAATACTCCAGTCGATACTTCGTGAGTACCACTCAAATCGACACAGACATCAAGACCGCTATTCTGCGAACCCATATTCATGCGACCCTTGTCGATTGTCATCATTGTACTCGTTTGATTTTAAAAATACAAGTAAGTGACTTCTCAAGTGATTGCTAGTAGAAGTTTGTGGCCATAGAATAACATTTTTCTTGGAATTTGATTGACGACAATTACTAGAGCTTAGTTTCTTTAAAATATCTTTATAATTGTGGGAAATTCTTTCAGAAATGCTTCAACATTTTGGTTTAACCCGATTTTGTGATGGGAAAGTGAGCTAAATTAGCAACTTTTTTTCTACTTGTTCCTGATTCTAGGTACAAGAGGAGGTTCTTGGAGATAAAGTCGTTCTAAACTCTTAGACTATTCTTGGCAATTTGTGTTGTAGATATTTTGACTGAAATATAACAAGTATACAATTTTTATTCCTTTAAAAACTTCTAGGTTTGAGGATCATTTCATCTCTCCAATATAGTAGATTTAGATATAGAAGTAACCGATATCCTTGACCTCGAAGTTGCCAGTTTTGGCTTTCGAAAACAAAATACGGTTATCATACTAAAACCTAGTACATCAAAATCCTCAAATGTTTACAATCCAAACAACCTAGCTACAGGATTAAAAAGCAAGAATTGCCAGAGACTGACCAACATCGAAAATATCCCTCTCACATTTCTCCCAAAGAAACATTTAGGGATACATACTAATGTAAAATAAATTATGGTAAACGAAAGGGCAAATATTGAGTAAGCGATCATCTGAATCAATTCTCGTTTGTTATATTGATCTCATCTCTGCAACATCGCTCCGCTCGAGCCACATTCCCATTCAGCTTTAGCTAAAGTTAAACGATGCTTTCTCTAAATGTTCCACAAACCCCTTTCATTCTGCGTTTAGTCATCAGATCCAAAGAAGACCTTAGGAAATATGGTAAACGAACAATATACAAGTTTAGAAAGTAAGTAAACTCTTGATTTATAACTAAAACGTTTGACGCCACATTCCAAATGGTGTAACGACATAAATATGGAATCAGGAGTTGAAGATAAATCCATTTAAGAGTAGTTTGAAAGAAGAGTCCATTGAATAAAACTGCGAAAAAGCGGCTGGAAAAACTTCCAAAAAGTTTTAAGTCTAATAATTAACCAAGGAAAAACTCTGGAGGAGATGTGAGCCTGATTTTGGTTCCCAATTCACTCAATAGTCAACGAAACCAACCTCACCGAAATCAGCAATTGACTGTATTGAGCAACGTCGTTTCAACAGAGTACGGTATATAAAAGAAAATAGCATCTGTGATCGTCTAAAATGAAGCCGGACATCTACATCGAAAGGTTCATTTGGCTCTTGTCCCTTATCCGAGGTTTTTGAAGGCTTTTCGAAAGGTTTAAGACGTTTAAAGTTTTTTTAATATTTTGAGTTTTTAAAAAGATTTTTGACAACGAATTGATTAAAATGATCAAAGAAGAACCGTCAACAACGCATAGTAACACCTGAGAAAAGTTCTAGTTTTTAGTTTTTAGTTTTTTAGTTTTTTAGTTTTTTTAATGTAAAAAAACAACCCATGCGAAATTTCAAGTCATTTCACTCATCCAAAGTCCTTTATCATACAAAAAACGTTTTATCAAATGTCAAAAAATTATAGACGCAACTTAAATTTGACGATTTATTCTATCGATAATTGTTAGTTTTTCTCATTTTTTTGCTTATTAGTTATGTTTATAAATGTTTTTTTTCATTTTCAGATATGCTATTGGATGTGGTGGAAAACAACTGGATGTGGTGGAAAAAAGCGTATCAATGTGCTCCACACGCTTGGTCACTCAAACAGGGACATTGCTCGTCACATCAGACGTTCTGAGAAGTGTATTCGCACGTATCTCAAGACCAAAGTGACTCCTAAGAAGAAAGAAACACGGGGCCGGAAGAAAAGGTTGACTGATCAAGACGAACGCGCAATTACGAGACGTCTTTCCAACACGATGACATCACTCGAAGAGGTTCGCAAGGAGATGAAGCTTCCGGTCACTCGCCAAACTGTGCACAACGTTGTCTTCAATACTCAAATACAAACTCATGAAGCAAGCTCCAGACTTCCAAAGGACCATAAAGTCGCCCGAACCAGAAGACCAGAAGACCAAATGGGAAGGAGTTGGTTTACTAATATTTCTTATATATTTTATGTTTAGATCATTTGGAGTGATGAAAAGCAGTTCAACCTCGATGATGTTGATGATTTTCGAGGATACTGGAGGGATTCACAAAAGCCGGGCATGGTCTTCAACACGAGGAACTTTTGAGGTGGATTATGTATGTTCTGGAGAGCCTTTCGAGACGGTGAATTGGTCCGCTCAGAGTTTATTTCGACCTGGATGACAGCTAGTCGTCTATTTGAACAAGCTAGTCGTTCCATGACTTTGTCTCTTCGATGCCGAGACGTTTTTTTAAAGTTGGACTCAAGCAAGGAGGGGCCACAAATTATTAATTTATTTGGCTTGTGTTGTTATTTTTATTTCTGTTAACTTTTTCTTGATAAAATAAAAGTGCGTCTATAATTTTTTGACAGCTGATAAAACGTTTTTTGTACCATAAAGTACTTTGGATGAGTGAAATGACTTCAAATTTTGCATGGATTGTTTTTTTACATTAAAGAAACTAGAAAAATACTTTCCACTGGACTAGCACTTATACCCGGCTCTAAACTAGCAAAAAACAGGGTGCGTCTATAATTTTTTGACAGATTGTATATTGACTTGGCATCGCGACGTAGATCAACTGAATTGAGGTGTGGATTCTTCTTAAATGGTCGCACAAGTGTCCTCTCATCACGCTCATCCAGTCCATCTGGTCTTCCCTTTGTTGGTGCTCGTTTCACATTTCCGGAAAACTTACATTTTTTATAAATCTTGGTTACTGCTGGATGGGTGACACCGAATGTTGTGGCGACTTCTTGACGGCTTTTCCTCGATTTACTTCAGCCACAATCAGTTCTTTATCATACTCCGTCAAATTCGAACGATTTGTAGTCTCTTAGTATGGATTCGGGCCAAGGGGTTACGGCGGACCTCTACAAAGCCCAAGTGAGCCGGGTGGACCAGGCGTTGCATCAAGGCATAAACACGGCGACTACAAAATTCCTCCACGACAACGCTCGGCCGCACACCGCGAAGATCACACAGCAGAAAATCGAGGAATTGGGTTGGGAAGTTCTGCCACATCCGTCACTTTCAACCCGGACTTGGCCCCATCCGACTACCACTTGTTTCGGTCGATGCAGCACTCTTTAGCAGAAAAAAAACCAAAAACCGCGAAAAAGTCGAAATCTGGGTGTCCAACTTCTTCGAGTCGCAGTTGGCCGAGTTCTTCGAAAACGGCATCATTCTCTGCGTGGAAGATGGCAAAGAGTCATTGATAATGATGGCGAATATCTTTTAGATTGAGGTTCTGCATTATGGTTTTTATAATAAATTTTGTTTATGGTTCCAACGGAACTTTCATCTGCGCCAACCTAATCGAAGTCTGTCTTGAGTAACTCCACGCAGATGCTTGATGGATGCTTTGATGGATGGCCATATTATTTACTTGAATCAATTTGTTATCAAAAATCTTTTTAGAAACTCAAAATACTTTAACAAAAAGCTTTAAATGTCTTGCACCTTTCAAAAACCTTGGCTAACCGACAAGAGCCGTTCATTTTTACTAAGAAAGTTGCTGACTCTAATGGACCCTCAAAGAAACTGCACAGGCTTGTACTGGTATAACAAATGCCAAATACGAACCTGGCCATACTTTTTTTTGGTACTCACAAAGTATCGACTGGAGTATTCTACAATTGGAATGGTTTACCGATTCCTTCAACAAGCAACGATGCACAGAAGGATTTTGTCGCTACGTCAATGTTTCTGGTGAATTCTTACTTCAGTTCTTACTGAAATCTACAGTTTGGTAAAAACTTAAGCTTACAGGAAGCTCTTCTTGCTTTACTTTTGAAAATTTTTTGTGCAAGAACAATTTTCGGCATGGTTACGTGGAATGAAACTGTTTATTTTCTCACAAAACGTTTTGATTATATTATCTACCGAATTTTGGTCTCAACGGTTATCCTTGATGTACCGACTTTGTGGAAAGTTCGGAGAATTGTAAGTTGATATCAATTTACTAAGGAAACAATGGATCCAGAAAAAGTCTTTTCAATCAAAGCAACGGGCTGATGTCCGATTAGCTTTAGCTTTTTTGTAGCTTTTTAAACTTATAGAAACTTATAGCAATAGCTTTTGTTAGATTCGTTAGCACCATTTTTGAGTCATTACTATCTTCTACAAACTTCCCAATATGACCACTGTAAATGCCATTGTTGTCAAAACGGATAGATTTGCTGATCTGCATCATGTCTTCACTTTCACCCAGTTTTTTGTAAGTGTTTGTCAAGCGACTAGTTAGATACTGAAGCATGGTGAGTGATGTTTGAATGATGATGTTTGAAAGAGGAAGCCGACCATGCCAGTATTCGCTCCACAAGTAGTGGCATGTCCCTTTTCTTTTGGCTTGGATTGTTTCCGACATTTTGTATGGGGTTTGGCGTTGTTTTCTCCAATTTCTTCCGATTATTCGCAGCCATCGCCACACAGTCATTCGTTCACAGTAATGTCCAGCCAATTTGCGGGTTGATCCATCGAGGTTTAGCCGGAGACGCTGTCTCAGAATCGATCGATCCACTTTCCAAGGTTCGCCTCCCCTCTTCCGTTTGATCCTCGTGTTGCCCGTCATGAATTTGTGAAACCATTCCAATACTCGTTGCAACGATGTTGCCATAAAATTTATTGAGTTCTCGTGCTGCTTTGGTCGCTGAAAACCCTCTTAAAAATCCTTGGAGCAGTTGGACGTGGAGTTTCTTCTCGAGTTGGCTTCATTCGATCGACTGCAACTCTGTTCTCGTGTCGATCCCTAAAAAATGAATTTTAGTGCAAGAAAGCAGAAAGTTTTAGCATGAAAAAGAAAAAAATGAATACAAAACGTTGTGAGCGAGTACTGATCAAAACAAAAATCTCTTGGTTTTTATGGGATAACCTAATAATATCAAACGTACAAAGGTACCAGAGTACGATTAGTTGGCTGAACTGAACACTGAAGAAAGAGAACTTTTTGCTATTCCAGCAGTTTTCTCTAAACCAAAGAAGAACCAACCTTAGATTTATTGTTAGTTAGATGCCAGGCTAACTAGGGTTGATGCTAGGAAGTGCCAAAGTAAATCATTTAATGAATTAGAAAAAAAGGACTTGTTCTTTTTACTGTTTCAGCAGTTTTCTTAAAACAAAATGTTTAGTGCTCAATCATTTCCGTTTTCGCGAACATTGTGAGTGCTTGGCTTTGTTGGAGATCTCGTCTCCTTTTCAAAGTCGTCTCAATGCTATTAATCGCTGATTCCTTGACTAGAGCGGTTTATTCAGCTCTCCTTGTACTTGCCTTTTACTGTGTATTTCAATCTTTGTAAGTTGTTTTGAAGAATTCCTCCAAAAACCCGATTTTCAGCATTCCTTCCTTGAGATGTGATGGTCTTGTATATCAAATCTATCAATGGCTTCAAATCGTCTTCATCCCTTTCCTTTACCTTTCCAACATGGTGCAAATAAGCAAGCTGTTCATTTTGTGGTTATAGATAACATTATTTCAGCCTTATCATTGAACCGTTTCCTTGCTCTATCATTGAACCGTTTCCTTGTTTCCGTTTCCTTGCTCCTTGGATTGATGGCATTTGTTGGATTTCCATTTCACTTTAAAATAACTATATTTTAGTTGATGTTCGTATTACGATTGTTTCGGCGACAATCTCGTTTGATTTTATTCTCATCTATAAGATGATTGTAAGTCGAATTGCCGTGATTTCTTGATTCCAGAAGTTCAATGCCCTGACAATGAGCAATGAACTTAAACTTCTTCCAAAACTGTTCAACTTTTTCTTTTTAACCCTAACTACAAAATTTCAGAAATCAAAAAAAACCGTCAATCATGCTAGCGAACGTTTCCTCTTTGCTCAAGTGAGTTTTTTCTAGAGTGCAACACAACCTATCTTTCCAGATCGTGGCCAACAATTTGCCATTCACTTATTGTTATCTGCTTGCTCCATTCCTTTTCATCACCATTATGCCATGGGCTCCGATGTTTTCCGATTTCATCTATTACTTTGGAAATCTGCTTTTGTACACTGGGAGTCACCTCTATCAGGCGTGAGTCTTGGAATCGTTTGACTTGATCTCTTTCATCTAATCTTTATTAACGTAACTAATAACTAGCTTAACGCTCGTTTGTTTATAATAAAGTACTTTTCAGAATCGTCACCATTTATCTACTGCGCAAAGACGAACGAAAAAACATAATTCGAAACTCATCAGCGGTAAGATGAAAAAGAAGAACCTGCTTATATCCTACATGCCTTTACAATTGCCATTCAGTACCGGTTATTCTTGTGCAAGATTTATGTACTATTCGTGTTTCTATCAGTGCATAAACCCCAATTTCCTTGAATGAATTGAATTGACTCAGTGTTTCTTCGAAAAGCAAAAAAATTAGGGGTCTCACACAACTTTTCTGTACCCAATTCTCCAAATCACAGTTAGAAACAAGTTTCATGCATCAAAAAGCTGTTTTTAAGTGTAAGAGATGGAAAATCGTTTCAAAGAACAAAACAAAGAGAACAGCTTAGAAAATGATGACCATACATCAAAAAAAAGAGAAAAGTTTGCAATTTGAGAAAAAGTTTTCTTACATTGTGATTACCTTGTTTATTTGGACAGAGAGCGTTTAATTGCCGATCCTTTTTTGTTCGAAAAGGTAAGACTCGATGGACGAAGGACTTTTTGAGGTTTGGATTGGAGGTTGAAAAAGATGACCACATATCTAAAGTTGCATTATAGTTACACCACAAAGAAGATCAGAAATATCCGAAAGTACTCAATTACTGTAACGATTTCGCGAAGCCACCGGATGTGGCTTCGCGAAAGGGGATGACCGCCAAAGGGGACATGCCACCACTTGTGGAGCGAAAACCGGTATGGTCGGCTTTTTCTTTCAAACATCATCTTACAACAAACAACACTCACCATGCTTCGATATTTAACTAATCGTTTGACACTTACAAAAAACTGCGTGAAAGTGGAGACATGATGCAGATCAGCAAATCTATCCGTTTTGACAACAATCTGATTTACAGTGTTCATATTTGGAAGTTTGTAGAAGATTACAAGCAATGCACCTGAAAAAGAAGATTGGATTCAAGTTTTGAAAACTTATACTTTACCCAAGCTGTAAAACTTACCATTGATGATAAAAAATAGCGATAAAACGATGAGGATTTCCCTGAGCATTTGTGGAGTTGAGAATTGATGCGCTGTGTTTGGATTCCTTTTCAAAGTGAATATAGCCATTGGTGGATGTTTGTCAGCGTCTGAATGGCTTCGCCTCACTGGACGAATGTTTCTATCTTGTAAGATAGCCAGAGTTTGCCTATCATTGATTGATATTGTAAGTTTAAAATTCTTAAAGTTCAACACATAAACAATAACTTGTAACTGTTTTTGAATGAATCTCAAAGCTGAAAACTGCAAAAGTAGATGTCTCGAGTCAAACATTGCAATCAAGACTGTGATTTCTAAAATAGGCAAGAGGACAAGAAAAATTGGGCGTTCGACTGATTGCAAAGGAAAAAGTGATCAATAAAAATAGGTTATTTCCGATTTAGCTGGTCTCGAGTTTATGATTATCTTGTGAAAGTCATTCTGAGCCAAACATTTAGGTGAGTCTTAGTTTGACAAGAAGCTATTTATGGTTTTCCGATTTTAAACTGTTCTAGACTTTTTTTAACAAAAACATTAAATGACACTAAAAGTTCAAACTTTAAGCCTCGTCAATTGTCTCACTCATTACTTAGGCTCAAAATCAAAAGAGAAACAGGGATTATCTTTAAAATGTGCAAGATCAAGCAAAAGAGTTACAGATAAGATTGTAGATTCAAAGAGTGTAGATTCAGAAGAAAGAGTGTAGATTCAGAAGTTTTGACCAGGCATCTAACTTTGAAACCTTTAAAACCCTGGAATATCGAACAAGAAAAAAACATACGATCAGCTTTTGAGAAGTTAAATGTTTGAAAAGGAGTTTTAAATGAGTTCAATCTGTCAGAGAAAATAGAGGATTACTAAAGATACATAAAGGTGTAATTAAACGGAAATTGGCTTTATGATAAAAAGGTTGTAAAGGTTGTAATTATTGAGATTGTTTTAAGAAATTTCTCCTTTTAATATCACTACAAACTTTTTTGTTTCAAAACACAGGCTGTAGTGAGGATTAGAAACTCTTTTGCATACATGGAGTTCAAAAAGTCTTGTAGCTGTCTGAGAAAAAGGGAAAACTTAAGTTAAACCATTTATAAATAGATGAGCAACTATGCTAGCATAAATTCGAATAACACTTACAAAATAGCCTTTCTGCTTTCTGATTGCGACTACATGAATGAGGTGAATTAGGTAAGTAGTTCAAGCTGGTGTTACAAAAGAAATTCTGGTAATCATTTGTGCAATCATAGATAGTGAAAACTTCTCAAGGGAATTGCCTTTTCTGAGATTTTCTCATTTCATTGACTCACACAATTAGAAGCATTTTTTTCTGTTTTGATTGTTTCCGGGTGAATATAGAATTTGGAAACTTACCTAGTAAAAAGCTTTGGAAATTTTGAGATGGTTTATCCATCAATGAACCACAAATGTTAGATTTGTAAATCATTAATAAACATCTAAAATTGCGGTGCCTTTTTTTCAAGAAGTTGGCATACTTTTTATTTCTTTTGTTTATCAACGTAAGCTTCATTTTTGGCTTCATAGCTTCATTTGTCAGTTTAATGAACAATTTTGCCTCGTTCAACTTGCAATTCTGTAATTTTTAAGCATCTTACTGCAATAAGACGAATTGTGGTACCATTCTCATCTCTTAGTTCAAGAAACGACTTTTTGCTCATCTTTTCTTAGCAAATAGATTGTAACGATTCTGAAATGAGGTTTTAATAAGAACTCTTCTGATTCGTATATAGCTACAGTAATTTAAGATGATCAAGCAATAATATCTCTCACAAATTCTTGATAGGGTTGACTTCCCGACTACATAAGCCAGTTTTCCAAGTAGTAACAAAAATAGGCTATACTTGTTAATGAATCCAGAAAACCAGGGAATATGAAAAGATAAATGGCGTAAGTAAAAGTGAATGGTAGATTGTTGGTCATGATCTGTAAGCGGAACTTGGTTTATTCAATTTGATCCTCAAGTCAAGGAAAACACACTTAATTAAGAATCTTAATAATTGATATAATTAATAGTGTTCTTTGTTTTCTCTTATGTGCAAGATTAGCGATATGAGTCGATGCCTTCTCTTCCTTGTGACTACTTCGCCTCAAAAACTCCCAAGTTCTTCGAGGATGAGATCCGGGATTTGCGCAGAAGATGGGAAGAAGTCATAGGTACTAATGGAGAATACCTTTCGAATTGAAAGCTCTTCTTTTGTGTTTATTTAAAATAGATGATTTGTTACATAAACGCGTCATTATTAAGTTGCCAACCTAATAATAATCTTAATAATTGATATAATTAATAGTCACCTTTGTTTTCTCTTATGTGAAAGATTACCGATATGAATCGATTCCTTCTCTTCCTCGTGATTTTACGCTTCAACGATTTGCTCCACTTTCGAGAAGCTGATGTGCACATGAACTGTGATTTCAAAAGGAATTTGATGTGCATTATTGACATTTTTAAAGTTCTAATTTCCTAAATTTAATTTTTCAAAGTTTGGCTACAAGTTTTAGGATGTTCATTTGCTTGCTGGCTCTGTTTTTGGTGGAAACGATTTCCAGTGAGCTTTTTTGCCTAAATCTTTGATTTAAAATGGCCAAACTGAATTGTTGAAATTTAAGCCGTGAATGCTTAAAAGCTTTGCTATCACAATTACTGTTAATTTTAGTATTGTCAGCAACAAATGAAATTGTGCACAATCAACTAGTAAGTGTCCAAAGAAAAGCAGTTCCAACTACTTTTTCCATAAATCGTATCCATTTGGCCTTGACTATTGTATGATTCCAAAAACTGGAACAATGATTACACAACAAACTCTTTGCGATATCATCAAGGATTATAAAGGCATCTCTTACAAACGGGAATTCTCGCAGAAAGTTTGGTTTCTCAAGTTAGTTTTCTTCGGGAAGATGCTGAAGAAAAATTTTATAATGATTTTAGTGACTGTAAACTTAATGGACATTACTTAAACGTATCAGTTGTAAAATGGGAGAAACCAAATCCACCAATAAAATTTGCGATCATTCGAGAACCGATTGAACGCTTTGTCTCGTTTTATGGTCACTTTTAAGTAAGTGAGTTTTTAAGAGATACTAAAAATTTGCTGTGTAGCTTGTTTTCCTAATCACAAACTATTTATAGTTACCAATTGGAGCTTATTGCATTGAAAATTGCATATAATATTAAAAAGATTCACACGAACTAAAGAGCCTAGCTCGAGAACTCTTTTGGCTTTGTTTTTGCTCATTTACCGGTGAAATGAAAGCATGTGATGCAGCATAGATCATCTCATAAACAGCCATTCCAACCAGAAAATATTTATAGTTACCAATTGGAGCTCTTGTATAATACCGAACCAAGAATATTAGCAATCCATTTAACCAGATCGCAATGGTAAGTAATAGATATCCACTGATGATGTGATAGGGTACCATGTTAGTTTGGATAGTAATCTAAATCGTGAATGGATCAATCAGAAAGTTAGCTTGAAAATGTGCAAACCACAATTGTTTGTGGAATCTTTGAATTTTGAACGTTTCCCATCAAACCAACAAAGATAATCCAAACTTTTTGCGATTTGAAACCAGGAAAATGAAGCAAGAAAAATCGCGCTGAGCTCATGTGATTTGGCCAGCCTATCCAGTTGTAAAGTAAAGTTCCTTTTAGTGAGTAAAGCTTTAATTTTACTCGAAATGATTTAAACATGAAGTTTTTAATGAAACTATTTTTCTAAAACACAATTTAAAGTGCTCAATTCAATAGAGTACGTCGGGTTTTGCTGTTTTCTTCAAACCAGTGTCTTATATTTTCCCCCATTTATCTCCTTGCTCCTCAATCCGTTCACTGACTCGACTAATTACTGTTATTTGCGCGTCGTTGCATTTTTTGACTGATCGACGGGAAAAACTTTTTTCTAGGAAAAGCTTAGAATTTTGTCGGTATTCTCACGAAGTTTCATTCATTCAAATAGTGATTTTTATTGCTTCATTTTCCAGGTTTCAAATCGAAAAAGGTTTAGGTTGCCTTTGTGAGATCAAAATTTGATTGTCTTTGTTGGTTTGATGATTGGTGAGGCGTCAATAAACATTTTGATTTCGGATTTCAACAATTTAGAAATTTTCTTGACTTCATATTCTGACCTTTAGGTTTTAAATTCAAAGTTCTGCTTTGTGCATAAAAATTCACCTGTTTTCGCTTTTGACAGATTTGCTCTTTTCTATAATAATTGGGTTGGTGAATTGAAAACTGCCGGACTTTGAACTATATGAACTTTGAACTATTTGAATTTTGAATCAAAAATTAGGCTTATAGCCAAATTTCCAAAAAGATACACTTAGTAGTTTCGCTTAAAATGCAAGTTTTGTGAAAATTCGTAAATTTGGCATTTCTTGAAAACCAGTTTTTGAATCGTCCTGAAAATTTGGATATAAGCTTGGTATTTGATACTACAACTTTTCCATTGACACCAACATAGGTTTCTTTTGAAGAAAGTGCTCAAACTGTCACATAATCCGCCATTTTCAATTCAAAAAACCAATTTTTAAAGGAGGAAAATAAATTATTTAAATTTTTATTTTTTTTTTAAACTTTTATATTTTTTATTATTATTTTTTTAAAAATTGAAACATAGACAGTTTATAACAAAAATGAGTTTAACACGTACTGATCGGAGAATTGAGGTGAGAAAATAGGAAATGGGTCTAGGAATTCGTTTACCCCCACTTTTTCTAGGTATTTTCTTTGTAGTTTTGATGAGAAACGTTCAAAATTCAAAGATTCCACAAACAATTGTGGTTTGCACATTTTCAAGCTAACTTTCTGATTGATCCATTCACGATTTAGATTACTATCCAAACTAACATGGTACCCTATCACATCATCAGTGGATATCTATTACTTACCATTGCGATCTGGTTAAATGGATTGCTAATATTCTTGGTTCGGTATTATACAAGAGCTCCAATTGGTAACTATAAATATTTTCTGGTTGGAATGGCTGTTTATGAGATGATCTATGCTGCATCACATG